TGAACATGCCGCATCTGCATCTTGATATGTCTTATTGGGTAGTTGTAGTAGTCTTGCGAGGAAAATTTATTTTTAAGAAAGATGTCGTTTGGGTGACTTAGTATCGCCCTAGTTTGCTCAAACCTTTTAGAAAGTTAGAGTGAAGTGTGCGTATGAAAAATCAAAATCTTATTTTCCGCTCGTAAAGCGTTTTACCTTCTTTTGACAATTTAACCGTGCCTGCGGGGTGTCTTTTTGCGTCACCGTGAAAGCACACAGCACCCCAGCAGCTGGACCGTTTCCTTATGCAATCTCCTTCTTCTAACAAGGGATTCCCCGGTAAGAGTTGCATGTTTGTCTGAATATGCATCGGGGGCAGCGCAATGAAGGGGACGCGATTCGTATTCTAGGGGGGCTGTGCCGGGCTCTGCCCCACCACGCGCCGCCACGCCACGCTCCACCCTCCGCGACCCGAAAGAGAACGATATCGTCTCACAAATGAGCCTCATTGTCGGGAAATGATCCAGGCGCAGCGTTATCGTGTTTAATAAAGTGGCTTACATGGCCGCTGCAACCTTCCTCCCCTGCTCTCCCAAACTCCCTTCCCCTCCCTTCGCTTCTCTCCCGCTCCTCTCTCCCCCCACTCCCTCTCCTTCGCTCTACCCCCTTTTCTACTCGTACCCTCCACTCGCCCCGTTCCGGCAATCATCTCGGTCGAAACCATCATCTTGTCTTTTGGATTCATCGCGGATTCGCCCCGCATTTCGCTGCAGGAGTTTGCGAGAGAATTCGCCGTCCCACGGTTCGTCCCCTCCGCTTCCCTGCTGCTCCCCTGCAGCGCCAACGCCAGCCCAGCCCGCCCAGCCGCCCCGCAGCGCCACAGTAATTGTTGTTGCAAGTTGCCCCCGCCCGCGCCCTGCTGTGCGACGCTGATATTTTTGCATTGGTAATTCAGCTGTGTTCCCAGCCATCCCCCTGCCCCGCCCCGCTGTCCCTCCGCTCCAATTCCTCCCTCCGTCCTTTTTCTTCTTTATACCTTTCTCCCTTTCTCTCCGAAGCTCATCAATCGCTCCGCACAGTCTATTAATCGTGGCGGGAGGTAGCAGGCAGTCCTAGTCAAAGTGAAGGTGCCCCCCAGAGGGAGTCCTCTGCTCCTCCTGTAAAAGGTTGCCCTGATGGGTGTAACTTGAAAGTCACCCTGAGGGTGCGCCCGAGGGGACACGGACGGGAAACGTCGCTCGTGCCGCAAACGTTTCGCCGCTTTACTTACTTGGAGTTCGCAGGAAAAGTCCAGATGATGGTTTGGCTGCGCATCGCGTCTTATTGGCTGAGCCTGTTGTGTGGAGAGAGGCGGGGGGCTGGGGGGAAGAGAGGGGGCGGCAGCGGCGGAGCGTAGCACCAAAGCATTCAATTTTATACGGGGAAACACAGCGGTGCTCGGGTGCGCGCTACAAATCCTCGCAAGTCGCGGGCTTGATCGCGAAACTTAGCCAATTAACTTTGGCCGAAACAGCAGCAGCCGCAGCAGTAGCAGCGGGCCCACAACCACGCTGGCCCGGCCCAGCGGCACCGAGCGGCGAGCGAGCCGTGCGCGCCAGCAGCACTCAGCAATCAGCGGGAATGCTCGCTGGGCCTGATCCGCTTGTGGCGCGGTACGGCGGCGGCAGATGCATTGCAGATCGGCTGACGAATGGGCGCGCCGCTCGTAGGCCCGCCCCGCCCGCGGCGCCAAGGTGGCGCCAAGGCCGTCCCACATGCACCCCGACCCCCTTTCAAACATCGCTCCCAACACTGTATTGGCCACGTCATGAGCTTCCTGCATATGTAAAGCGTCAAACCTAAAATGTATTAATTTTTTGTCGGTGTTTTTTTTCTGTCCTTTTTCTCATTTAGATGACAACGTACCTCGAAAACTCGAACGTGTCGGTGGTGTTGGACCTGCACGTCAACAGCATAACGTGAGTGTCCGGTGTTCGGCTCAACTCGAGACAACTGCTTAATGTCTCCGCGCGCTCTGTTTAACCCCCACTGTAACTCCATTATGCCGACAGCCCCGCCAGCGGCGGCCGCAACTTGGACCTCAAGTTCCAAGTGGTCTGCGGCGACGGTGACGCCGGCGCCGTGCAGAACGCGCTGCGCCGGCTGGTGGACCAGTGCCCGGACTGCCTGGGCTCGGTGCGACTCTCCGGCAAGCCTCATGTGTCTGAGCCCGAGCCCATGCTGCACCTCGTGGTACGTAGCAGTAACCGCACACAAATAAATATCCGGAAAATACACGCAAAAAAAAAGCAGGAATTTGAATTAAGTTCTTGCTTTTTTTTTTGGTGTGTGTGTTTGCAAACGGTTTCTGTTTAAGTTTTCTCCGCACTGCTCAAATAACCGAGTTGATAATCATTCGGTGGAAATAATGTAAATGGGGTTCGTGATTAGTCGTCTCTTTCCTCTTTCTGGGAACGCTCGATTTCCAGACGTTTTATTTTGTGTACTGTACTTCCAAGCCAGCGGCCCGCTGTCAGTCTGTGGTCGTAAGGTGCAGGCCGTGTAAGGCCACATGTAAGTGTATCGTTGTCCCCGCGTCGCCGCTTTAGTTTTTTCTTTTCCCTCGTTCGTCCGACCCCTGGTTTTCCCTCGGTATGTGGTTCTTGTGCGGGATGGGATGGGGATGGTAGGCTAATGCGGGCCATATTCGGAGCCCGGCTCGTGGAGGGGGTACATCTCATTAATCAAGGTCACGCAGCAGCGGGCTGGACCGAGCCGGGAGCGTGGGCTGGACCAAACGCTATGGTGGGCTATGTTGGACGCTGGACAGGATTTCACCGGGCCGACCGCGCTCGCGGGGTAAAACCTTTTACGGGCCGCTCCTCTGCAAAAGAGAGCAGAAAAGTAGCCTCGCTCTCAGAGCACGTTGGGAGAGAGGGGTAAAGGGGGGACGGGTAGGCTAGTGAAAGAGTGAGCAGGGGTTGGTGGGGGGTGGGGATCCCTGCTGGCCCTCCGCGTAATCCCATGAGCCGATCCGGGCTACTCATGGGACGGTCAGGAATGCTCTGCAGCCCATGACGTCGCCGTCGCCTGGGCGGCCTGTATTGGGGCGGCGAGGGGAGGACTGTGACCGGCGGCCAGGCCGTCACAAGGAATGCTTTAGAAGGCACTCCCTGCCGGCGCCGCCCGCGCGCCCGCTGCTGGCTGGGAGGGGGGGCCTTTCGCAAGGAGGCAGGGTGGGTCTCCTCTCATATTATGGCGTGTAGCGTGGGAGGGCGAGGCGTAAGGGAGAGTGAGAGTGGCTGCCAAAGTGGTTCAAGGCGGCGGGGGGGAGAAGGGGG